ACCATTGTGGTTAATTCTTGTGGAATTCGTCATGATGGGCTAATTGACATGATTCTATTCTAATTTATCATCTCTCACTGATGCATCGTCAGCATATACTGACAGAGCTGGCGGGGGTACCGTTTCATTTTTGCAACACAGCAGGTGTATGCTTTTAATGGTTGATAATTGAATGGTAAACCCTGTCTGCGTTATCGGTATACGTTAGCGGGGCACCAGTGGTAGAAAATAGATGAGAATGAAAACAGGCCAGTTGGTTTATAGTGTCGAATTCATAAAGAATTTACGGAGATGGTTTCCAGATAAAACTGCGTGAGGGTTGACTTGATATTCCCAGCAAACACCATTGCTGGCAATGGGGTCGCTAATATACATTACTAACAATCCCTTTTCCTCACACCGAGGGTGTTACGTGTACGTATTATTTGGTTTATTGTTCGTATTTTTTTTGTTACCTCATTATTTGTATATAGAAGTTCACCGCGCACTTAGGAGAATCAATTTTATTTTGGATAATATGACTTTTATGGACTTTTTTATTCAATTTATGAATAATTATAGTGGTTAATTTTTAGTACGACATTTAAATAACAACATATGATATCTAAATATATACATAATGGGAAATTAATTAAGGGACAGTGTTCTAGTTTCTGTTTTTAGTGCGTGGTGAGACGCTATGACGCAAAGCGCAAAACGCCCCTGAACATGACTTTCAGATGAAGCGAAAATAATTGTCGGAAACGATAAAAACGCAGTGAGTTCATTAATTTTCCGTTATATATGCATATACCAGGTCACTCAGAAAGTATTGCGAGAAAAAGTTTTTATGTATGTGAGACTGGCCAGTTATAATTTATTTAAAAATATGATTACTTATAAGTAAAAATAGGTACATTCTAAATTCAAAACTTCCCTTCTCATTTTTTGTGAGCTAATTAAAATTACCGTGTCCGAGAACATTTTCGCGGTATGATTTTTTACGATTTTAAGTGTCGCCTGAAACCGGACGAATCGTACGATAGACTTCTAATGACATTCATGGATGAAGGCCCTTCTAAGGCAATCGTGTATCGTTAGTATAATGAATTTAAGCACGGTCGACCAGTTTTAGATGACAAAGAAAGAAGTGGTCGCCCTTTGACGGTTATTACGGAAGAAAACGTGCTAGCAGTGAAAAATTTGATCCAAGACAATAGACGAGTTATATACCAAGAGATTCAACATATACTGCAGATTTGATCAGGAAGACTTCACGAAATTCTACACGTGCATCTACGGGCGCGGAGGATAGTTTCACGCTGGGTGCCGCACAACCTCACCGATGTTCAGAAACAGGCAAGTGTGGAATGGTGCCATGATATGATAGACAAATTTGAAGCAGGCTCGTCTCGGCGTGTTTACGATATTGTTACAGGTGATGAATCCTGGATTTATCAATATGATCCAGAAACAAAGCGCCAGTCGACAGTTTGGGTGTTTCGAAATGAATCAACGCCTACCAAAGTAAAGCGATCTAGAAGCGGGGTAAGTATCGTAGACGAATAAAAATATGCAATAAAAAAAAATCAAAGACATGGTTGATATACACTAAATATAGCAATTGTCCTAAAACAAACACTTAAGTACAGGACCTAGTTATCTGAAAACAGATATAATCATTTCTTAGTTACAAATTGTTATGTAAAGTAGCATATACGTTAGTAATTATGATCTAGTCACTACAAATTCTCACTTTTAGGGGCTTCCATAGCAAATGTTAGTAATCTATTATGTTAAAACATTTCCTACAATCACAGATCTTAATGTGTATGAAAACTAAATACCTCATAAAAAGCTACAACAAGTTGTAATTTTATAATCTATGTATTTTTAGGGACATATTTGTAAATTTTATGTAGTCTTAGGAAATGAGAATAAGGTTATAGGAATTTAGTCGGAGTTAAGTAGACTCGTTTGATCTTAGAGCGAAAAAATTACATTTTAAATCGATGTCTGTTACTAAAAAGCCATGTACTACATTTACATGATGTACTAAATAATTGTGAGTGAAGTATTTAGACACACTTAGAATAATAAAGCAAGTGTGTTGTTAAGTATGCAACGTTTTTGTTTTCTTCAATTATACAGGTTATAATTAATTAAATAATGTAAAAATTATATGCTATTATTGATTTAAATGTACATACTAATTAATTTAATAGCGTATGACTACTAAAAAAAATTATGTGAATTTTAAACTAAAAATTTCATACAAAAGACGCGCGTCTCGCGTCGTTTACGCGCGCACGCAGTATAGTAAATTACGTAACAATTCGAATGGAAAATGAAATTCCTGCTTCCGAACCATTAAGCAATTTGAATTTAACACTCGTCCCTTCATTTTCCTATTACCACGTAAATTGCGCGCTTACTCACAACTCACGAGCCCTTTGGAGTAAAATGTATCGCGAGGTGGGAACGTCTAGAACCATGCACTGGTATTTATGCCTCGTTAGTCATAACTACAAGTAGGTAAATTAATAAACTGATTTACATGCGTGTAAAATTGAACAACTCTATACGTGTGAGGAGCCAACGTTATAGAGGGTCTTTTTAAAGAATAATGCAAATAAAGAGAAGCAAATTTTGTTTCGCATAAAACAGCAGTATTAACTGCTGTTTTAAAGAATTATCTTTTACAATAAAGTAATGATGACTATATATTGTTTAGTAATGAAAAGATTATTTATTATAAGATTAAGGTTATTTATATTTATGCATGAATATATTTAGAACTTATATTCATTTGTTAATATCCTGTTATATCATCATCATCATATCAACCTTCAACTTTCCACTACTGAACATAAACCTCCTCCTTGGGGGGCTTTACCAGCAGTTGTCACACTTGGCAGGCGGATTGGCACCCGCAGTTAAGTTTGAAAGATGTTTTAAGAGGGACGCTGTAGCTTATGCCTTAAGCCTTGCCCATTGCCCTCCTCTTAGTCGCCTCTTACGACACCTACAGGAAAAGAAGCAGAGGTCTATTCTATGCCGGGACCAGATGGTAAGAAAAAAGAAAAATATATAGCGGACCTTAAATTTCATTACAAATATTTAGCAATAATTATATATTATTATTATGTCACATATATAAATTACACAAGTGTATGTTATTTTACAAGTGCTTGCAACTTATTATTGCAGTTATTAGTTGATTAAAAGATAATTAAAAGTTCGGTGGGCAAGTTTCTAAGAGCCTCTATAAAGAACATGCTTATGTAATATATTGTCATTTATTATAATTGTAACAATTATATATGTGTTGAGGAACTCTTTGTAAGTACGATTTACTAATTAATTATTTGTAAGGAATTTGATAAAATTTTACAGTATTATATAAATGGTGATTGGGTAATATTGTTAATGTGTACAATTATGTTATTTAGTTCTATCGAGTATATATAGTTGCTGTTCCTAAATGGATTTTAAAATCAGGGTAATCTAAGAGATCGATTTCCAATGGGGTCAAATTAGAAAATAAATTTTATAAATTGGCTCTGGAGATTGTGCTTATCTAGTTACCTCCCTTATCAAGTTTTCATAACAAAATTTATCCTAGCTTAACGATCAGGCATTTGGTATTATTATGTAATACCTATTTATTATAACTATTATAGTAAATCATGCTCGCTATTGCGTATGTTATTTAATACTATATACAAAATATTTATGTTACGCCGCAAATATTTGATGGTCCAATTTGTCTCTTTTATTTCAATGCAGTGTGATTCTGGTATAGAATAGACCAACCCTTACATTCCCTTGGGTGTTGTAAGAGGCGACTAAGAGAATTTAATTGTCGAGGGATGGGCACCAGTATCCATTTTAAAACATGACCAAAAGTCTAACTGCGGTTATAAACCCGACTGCTAAGCGTGGCAATTATTGAAAAAAACCTTCTTTATAAGGGAGGCTTATGTTCATCAAGGAACAGTTGAAGGCTGATATAGATGGAGTTGGATAACAATGAATGTAGCCTAATATATTAGGTAGGCATAATCACATAATTACTAGAGTTTAAGTGGTACATTAAGTTCTATAATTTGAATTTTCGAGAACCCGTTACTTAAATATTCGCATCACTACTGTAATAAGATAGTTGTATATATTAGAGTTACAGCAGAATACTGTTCAGAAACATTATATTTATTACAATAAAATGAAGGACTATAGAGGATTGATATAATTCTTCATCATATTGTATACTGCTATTGATAGTGCATAGCTGTTTAACTGATCAGATATACCGAAGAAAATATAAACAAATTGTGAATGTTATTAAACTCTAAAATCTAAAGACCTAAGCTCCATCTATTTATTGAGGATCACCTTGCATTTTTAATCAAACACATCGCAATCCGTCAATGGGACGGCTGACTAAAACAAAGCCATAAATTAAGGCAGGAAACGGGAGGCGAATAGTGCTCGTATTGAAAGATTTACTTCCTCTGTTTAATTGCAATAACGGCTAGGCACGTTGGTATCGTATTTTTCTTTTTACACTCTGCCTCTTATTGCCTTCGGGCCGTTAAATAAATTTATGACGCCCGACAAAGTTCAGCCCACCTCTGCAGGTTGCGGTGGGCTAAAATTAGGTGGGAATGCGGAACAGAAATAAAAAGCTCGGTCTCAGGTGTGTTGTTCCCTCTGGCCAGCTAGTGGGATTAGCTCTTGACTCGCGGTTAAATGGCTCGGCCCCTCATAAAAGTTTCTTAACGCTCATAGTTCGTGCAACCTTCCCGTTGACTAAAATTTCCCTCTCGGAAAACTTTACCGGCCGGCTTCGTTTCACATTACGAGCCTATCTGCTTTGGGACCCCGTTACATCGCCGCTACATATACTGGACGATGAGTTTCACTAATATTACTTACCGCCATAATGTTTCCAACATCTCAAAAGTAGAAATTCAATTATATTTTAGTATAATAAATAAAAGGGAAATTCGGAAACTCACATTAGCGCCAGGCTCCTTTAAAACCTCCGATGTAATCTGAAACAAGGAACAAACACGCCTAAATAACAATAAAATTCTAATAAAAACTTTGAACACGCAACCGAAATTGTATAGGGAAAATTGACCAAATTATTATTTACGGTTCAAAATTAAAACAAGGCATTACAGGAGATTGCTTTTCCCCTCTTTGAAACTCGCATTAGGACTATTAAGTACGTGCCTAACGCACCCGCTCTAGATTAGAAATGGATATCTAATTTCGAGTTTCTGATTCATTTGAACAAAATAACATTTATAAAGAATCTATATCATAAATTTCTAAATTTTATTCCCAAGTATGGAATCCTAACCTCGTTAACCACAATTTCAAATCCACGAACACCAAAGTTCGATTTAAATTAAACAAACAGACCACAACAACCCTTTGATATTCATTTTTAGAACATGTAAAACATTATAATAGAAATATTTTGAAATAGTAGGTATAGCCACATTAAAATAACCAATTTAAACAATTTTAATTAATAAATCTATTGTAAACAATAACATATTTTTTATTTAAAAAATACCAAACCAATATAGGTTAATTAGGTACTGTATCTATACGTATAAATATTCTATTAGCAAGGTTGTGCTAATGAAAATATATTTCTAAAGCATAAACACAATTCAATTACCGTTTCGAATGAAGATGCAGCAAACTCTCCTATCTCTAAAGAGATCGGCGAGATATGAAAGAATTACCAACAATCCTGAACATTCGTTAACTGAGTTGTCCCATGTCGGCGGGTTGGACGTGGCCAAACAAAATGTAATTTTCCCCCCCAAAGCGTCCTCTTACGTGACCCAAGAAAGATATAACGTTTTTATTAAATTATTTCAGCTTTTATAACTAACTGGTACGGACATGACCGAAAAAAAATTAACGACTCAAAGGGATTAATGCGAAGCCTAACACAACGTTTCTGCAACACCTGCTATATGTTAGAGCGTGATTTTAAAAAGCTCTTTATCTCGAGCTCGGGGCTAATTTGTCGTCGGCAAAAATCTAATTTTAGATAATTCACGGCACTAATATTTTGTACGGTTTGTTTCATTAACAATTTTGTTACTGAACAAGGGTGTTCTTTAATGCAATCTCTACTTTTATTTATTTATAAAAGGACATTATACATTGTTTATAAAAGTATTATAGCATTTTATTTGTTTATATTTTTAATACACTTTTAGGTTATTTATATCTACTTTTATAAGTATATTCATCGTACCATATTGTATTCATTTTAATATGAATATGAGAATGCGTTTGATAATTATTTATTCGTCGATTATTAGTCCGATTACTTGTCAAATAACTTAACATTTTTGTGACACCGGCATGTTTTAGCATTATTTTAAAAATTCTTTATCTTTAGCTTAAGTCGGTAATAATCTAATTTCAGATAATTCATTAATAATAATAATCTTTATTTAATGCATTCGTTATTTTTATATACTCATTGTATAACATAATATTCACACTTCATACATAGTAACATAAAATATACGGGTAAGAATATATTCTGTAGACTATATACTTATAATATAAAATATTTATTTTCCCTGTTAATTTTATTTTGCTCTTTATTAGAACAAAGCGTCGCAAAGTTCTTATTCTTATAATTTTGAATTGAAAGAAAATATTTTGCATGCCATATGAAAGCAATAGTTTATTTTTAGTATATTTTAGTAAATCGAATTAACCTAAATTGTGTTGGTACTATTATAGTATAAGTTTAACAGAAACACACGGATCCTCTCGCTTATCAAACTTCCGTCGTTTTGAAATTAATGTCACGAGATTTTATTTATGTGCGACAGAGGGCGCATCGGTAGATTGCGCATCCGATTGTGACGCCCCAATGAAACAGATATTTCGAACAGTATTCTAAATTATCATTTGGCAACGATTTGTTTCATTCACGCCCCATTACCTCGTCTCGCACCTCAGTTCAGTTCAATTAGGGTGTTCTACAATAGCTCGTCAGATTTGAATATATTAATAAAAATTTTTTTCATGAAAAAATATCTGGAAATGTTTTAAATTATATTACACAGTGTAATATATCTATAGCTTAATACAATAAATTTAAGAATGCATAGAAGAAATTTAGTTTTGAAGAAAATGAGTAAGAAGGAAATCTGTTAATCACTTTCAGACGTACTTTTCTAAAGTAGTACACATAGAATAGCTATTTTATTGAAAATCTATAGAAATTCTTTCCTCTACTGACAAAGATGCCTCTTGTTATTAATGTCAATAAGCACACAATGATACTTGCTCTTTTCTAAAGTTTATACATATTCTTCGCTGTAGCATGCACTCTTTTTATGCATTACAGCCCCATTTAAATTAAAAAAGTCTAGCATCTCATTTAACAATGAATTACATCAAATTATATAAATATCAGCCTTAAAGTTTAGGATATTTTACTCTTAGTCTATATTAAATTGTAATATCTTTTATAATTTGACAGAAGCTAAGGCTAAAATATTGCTCGGGCCAGGCAATCCGACCTTTTTGTTAAGTAAATGTTTACACTTCTTTTTCATTTTCTGTATCTTTTTTACCTGTGTAATATTTTTTTATATATCCAAAATATATTAGGTACATAAGCAAAAAAACAAAAAAATAATGTTTCAGCTAATAAGGACAACAAAAAAATAATTAATGCGATATTATGGTTGACATTGATGTAATTTTATTTAGTGATCTTATTTCTAATTCAATAAATATTGAACCTTTATTGAACTAATAAAAAATGTAGTAGATATTCTTGCGCTGAAAATATTAGGAGTGATTATAAACAGAATCAGCGGAGTCGTAGGCGTTGTCGCAGCATTGAAGTCGATATAAACAATAATATAAACGACTATTTCTTTTTATTTGTTTATTTATTTTAGTCGTTTGCTTTGGCACCTCTGTCCCATTCGTGTTTCTACCGTGAAGCAGTTATGTTTGCATGGCTGTGTTTCGGTTTGAAGGGTAGAATGGCAGTGAATTTACAGAATACAGAGGAATAACACCTGAGTCTTCAGGAATGGCAACGCATGGGGGTATTGTGGGCGAAACAGTATACTCTGTTATATGCATGGTATTGCTCATATCTATAGACGACGGTTGCTACTTTCCATCAGGTGGGCCGTCAGCTTGTTTGTAATTCTAAGTTGCATAAAAAAATTGAACTCTGTTTTTATGGTTTCTTCCATAATAATCATTTAAGCTGTGTGGGAAGTTTGTAGTATTTAAACCAAATTCACTTTTTCTAATATTTATCGACTTTAAAAAACGAGGAGGTTACATATTATATGATATATTTGACGCATATTTTGATTTTTAACATATATTGACTTTTCTGAGATTTATAAGATGACTAGCTGCATCTCGCGGTTTCGTCAGTGGTATTATAAAAAGTCTATAAGTTTCCTTAAGAATAGAATTTTGTGTTTCATTTCGAGTGTTCAAATTAAGAACCTTTTTTAGTTTAACATATTTGTATAGATTTAAATTACAATTATTTTTTAATGAATGAGTTTATTTTTTGACAACATAACAACAAAATGTGCATAGTATTACTGTGTATAAAAATAAAAAACGAATAGGAGTTTTTGGTTGTGTTTTGCGCTATAATTCCAATACGAAATATAATAGTTTGTATGAAGTATCTTTGTATACATACAATATTTTTTTAAGTTGATACAATGACAAATTATAGTTTAGATACTACCCAAGATCAATAACTGCGTAAACTTTCATTATTTTATAATTAATGAACTTACTATAGACATTTTTGTATACAAATGAATAATTTATTACATATGTCAAGGCCAAGTTTGATTGGTGTGAAATAGCTTTTTAAAAATCTTTGATTATAGGTGTAAGTTGTATGCGTGCTTTTAAATTTATATACTCATAAGATGGATGGTTCTACATTTGAATTTACATATTATAAAATAAATGTTTAATTACAAAACAGTAGAATAGAAATTAGATCTTAATTATATTTCTAAGATGAAATTAGGTATTACTGTTTATTATAATAAAATCGTAATTAGTGGCATATTCATGACGACATAGTTAAAAGCAGTTTGCTATGTTATCGCGAAGAAATGTTCGATCTGATTATAACTAAATATTATAATTGAGAATATATAATAAAATATTAATATTATATTTACCTAATGTCAATATTGGTATAATGTTTTATCAGAATTAATCGAGTGAATATGCGCAGTACATACGTATTATAAGAAAAAGTTTTTCTACATACTTTCAACGTATTTGTAGAGGCCTCTACGATTTATACGTGCCATGATGTTGCATAAAACATAAATATTAAGGTTTTTGTTAACTGATACTTCTTCATAAAAAAAATGAAGACTGTCTATGAATATAAAATTTTGCAAGGCGGTTTCTTAAATAACATAATTACTATTTCTTTTCAAAAATTCAAGAACAACTAAATACTTCTGCATGGATAAAGTCGCTGAAAAAGGTAGTTTGAAATCATCAACTGATCTCCGTAAGTAAAATCTCTTAATTCATAGATTATGTATCTAGCACTTACTAATTGTCACTAAGTTTGTAATAAAAGCGACTATAGATTAACGTTGGCGTGAAGGCACTTTAATTACATTTATAGCCGTAATGCAATAATCTTTCACATGAATTTACCATGAATTAATTCAACTCTATCCTTTTAATCTTCTAGGTAATTTCCATCAACGTAATTTGCCAAGGGCCAGGGGAAGGCTTGAATCTCTTAAACGCAGTGCCTTGGACGTTCCTACAATCCTGCTCCTACAATCAGAGCTTATGCATAAATTTGAATTTTCAATTAAGGATACTTTGAAGAAAATTTTATTAGACATAAAGAGAAACCTTTGGTCTCTTAAGACGAAATACGTATTAAAGAACATAAGATGTGAAGAGCTGCTCACTTTTATATTTTAAGTAAAATATTCATATTCGATTTTTAAACATGAAGGCGTTAAAA